TGACCTTTCAGGCATGATTGGATCCACGGCTATGAAAAGCCATCCTGTGTAGCTCACAGGGTCATGGAGGCAAGCAAGCCATCACACCACGTCAAGGTGCAGTCTCGTCGTGTGTAAAATGCTGCTCCAAGATTGGTTTGGCCCAGTCCCCAATCACACCATGACCGGGGAAGTTGTAAAGAAAGTAGACAAGTTTTGCTATCTGGGCAGCTTTATCTCACCTGGCGGACGCATCACAAATGAAGTGTCGGCGCGCATACAAAAGGCTCGATTGGCATTTGCCAACTTGGGACATCTGTGGCGACGTCGCGACATCCGGCTGTCTGTGAAGGGTCGAGTATAGGCTGCAACAGTTCGGCTAGTTCTGTTTTACGGTGCAGAGACTTGACCATTACGGGAAGAGGATAAAATAGATTGTCGGTGTTCGAACACCGCTTTCAACGTAGCATTGCACGTGTCTGGTGGAGAAACCGGACTAGCAATACTGAGGTTTGGTGTAGAGTTTTGGGTAATCGCAGTCGTCCACTGGTGCAGGTAGTCAACCTTCATAGATTACGCTGATCGGGGCATGTGCTACGCATTTTACCAGATAGGTTGCCACGGCCAGCGATGTTCACCGAGGCAGGTAACGGTGGGAAAACAATCAAGGGCCGTCAAACAAAGACCTGGCATGAGGGAATGAAAACCCTGACCAGGAGACTGGCTCACATAGGACCCTGACTGGAGGCCCCGAGATCGTGGTCACCGATATGGCTGGGTGTTGCAAACAGAGGCGCTCGTGCATCCACTCATTATTCTTGTAACTTCAGTCTATGAAAATGCACTATCTTCTGCTTGAATCTGCTCTCAACATTTTAATCATCATTCTGCTGTTTTAACCAAACGGACAACCCAAACTAGAGCACGAAAGTGCATGGTTATTGGTTGTAAGAACTGAACTGAACCGAACGGGGATCGCCAGTCCGTAGACGATAGCGGTCCATCAAGCTTGCACATGATCTGGAATTGTGAGCTTAGGGTCACCTACTTTGCCTTGAAACCGGCCTAGAAGGATTGCTCCGTCGTTTCCCATCGTCTCATCCCTCTCACCCGTGAACTTAAACCCTTTCTGTGATCTGATTGGATCCCATTGCGCGATCTGCGGCACTTGGAATCTTTCATCCCGACAGGAGACTGTCCGATTACTGGCTTGCACTTTTGCAATACTGTTGTTGTTACGTCCAGTCCATCCGTGTGGTGATGGCACTCTTGGTGTACTGTCGGAATTCACTGAGCCTGTAAACAAGATGTGGCTTCTTGCTCGGGTTAGCTCGACAAGCAACAAGTCCCTTTTTGCAGCTGAATCATCCGACCGATCGATAAATGAACCCGATCGGTCGTGTGATTTTCGGGCCGGCAGGAAGAGGAGGACAGGTTCCGAATCCGATATCGCTAAGTGTTGGTAGAGAATCACCACAGCAGGATCAGTTGTGGAGCCATGCGCCATGTGGGAAATTCGGAATGGAAAATGCTCAAGCAATGAGGACATTGGGCCAACGCTTGACCCGTATAAGATATACGTACTATTTTTCGAAGCGGGTTCCGTAAACAGATGATCATAATAAAACTTTGAATTCGTCCTAATAACGGACAACAATATCCCCTAATGTAGGCCCACGCGAAACTCTTCTTGGTATTTTCCCAACTGGCTGTTTTCACGTTGAACGATATCGCTGATTACTTGGGAGAATTCCGGAAGAAAAAAAGAAGAAATATTATAGAAAATGCATATTTATTTTATAAAAGTTGTTCAATATATTTTCCGTCCTGCTGCTTGCATAGCCAAATACGGCGAGAATAGTTTTCTTCCACCTTGAGAATGGTCACAGTTGGAATACTTTATTACTGCGCCACAATACTCTGTTTAAGCTCCTCGACCGTTCTCGGTTTTCGGGAAAAACGGTTCGCTTTAGATATTCGCACGATCATCTTTTCTTTATGGAGCTTAGCGAAAAACAACCACGCCCTCCAGTTGTCTGTGGCCTGATGCCGCCTTATTCACGGCCTACCACCAAGTTACTGTCCCTCCCCCTGTCGCGAACCTTACAACGCGCCGATCATCATTCGACTCTGCGTTCGACCAATCGACCACCAGCTCGCTAAATGTACCTCATTTGTTCCTCATTTCAATTACTGTTGAATCTCAGAGTGGTGTGGGAGGCTATTAATTTTTATCGTATAGTAATTTATTGACAAATGATCTTGTTCTTCAGGGTTCTACCAATGAGGTTTCGCAGCTTTTCTTCGATCGTGTCCTCGCAGATGTTCCTTGTAGTGGAGACGGTACATTACGAAAAAATCCCGATATATGGTTGCGTTGGAATCCAAACTTGGGTCTCTCCGAACACGCCCTGCAGAGTCGTATATTGCGTCGAGGCTTGGAATTACTTCGTGATCCAATCGGGAATGATAAAAAAAATTGTGCTCGTTTGGTCTACTCCACCTGTAGTTTTAATCCCCTGGAAAACGAAGCCGTGGTGGCCAGTCTGTTAAACGCATGCCAAGGAACTGTTCTTCTGGTTGACCCAGAAAGATTGGATTGCGTGACTGCGGAACTGGATACCGGCGGTGGGAGGAAGTTCCGAATCAGACCAGGGCTCTCAACTTGGAGAGTAATGACACGAAAAGGCGTGTGGTTCGAACGGTTTGAGGATGTTCCCGCAAGGTACCGTTTTGTATTGCCAGTGTATTTTTCACTTTACGTTTATATCTGATATGGCACAATGTTTGGTTTTTTAAATTCCTCACCAGAAACTCGTTATATTTTTCCATAGTTTTAATCGCTTGTTTCACCTGTCTATCTTTCATTACGTCTGAGTTATGGTGTATTATACGGTGGTACAGCAATCATTTTTATTCTGCGAACTTTTACTCCGTTGCCCATACTGTAGTATAATGAAATCGTGCATACGCCGTTTTATCTGCCGTCTGAATTTTTAATTTTTTTTGGAGAGGAGTGGCTCAATGATTTTTTATCTGACACATTTGTGCGGTGAACAGCAGACGGGTTGGCTCCTTTATTCGCGAAGACCAGCTGTTCGGTGGTGGAAACCGGCAACCTTTGTCCCCGGACTTGGGGTGGCGCATCACATGGGGCGCCGCTATGTTAGGTGTGGTTTTGAACTGGGCGACATAAAAGCTGTCTACCACCAAAGTCGGTTGGAGGTGGTGGAGTTTGAACCTTGAACCGTAGGGTCCAGAGCACGCTGATGCCAGTGATTAAACCACTGCACCACCACAACCACCCTACAAAAGTCAATCTTTTGGTTGATGAGTTCTCTCGAGTTAAAAAGTGATCTTTGAAGGTTTCGAAACACTTCCAAATAGCACTTTTCACAACAGAAATATTTCCTACGTCAAGAATTAAAAGCTGTGTTTCGCGCATTGCGGGTCAAGCCTCGGCTAGCCAAAGGCTCCGGTTGTGGATTCCTCAAGCAGATTCACCTGCTTTGGCCTGGGTAACCTGGCAGTATTCCGCCCACATGCAAATCATGGAGCACTTCTCTTTTTTATAAAGAACCGTGATTTGTTTGGCACAGCCTGGATTCAAACTTGTGTAAATATATATAATCAGCTAATGGATAATGAGAGCAGTTAATAACACGATGACCACTGCGATCGGCTATAAGTGATGGATTCGTTGGTGTGTAGACTCAATTTGCTGTTAAGATTCAGGTGCCCACAGCACCAGGTGCTGTAATCATAACTTGAAGAACAACGGTGTAGAATGCGATGAAAACACTACGTTGGATACAGACTATACGCTGTTTTTTTCAGATCCAACTTCACCAATGATCGATGCAGGGCAATGTGATTCATAAGGTGACGGATACACCCAAAAGCTAAACAGAATCTAAAATGATCCATGACGCAAAATTAACTATAGTGTTTGATTCAGTAGTTATTCGTATTTTCTTATCTACGGTTTCATGCACATAAGCAGTGCGTCAAATAACTATAGGCATCAACATCTGGTTTCCATGTTACCAGTTTGCACAGCAACATCCGACCAAGTATGTTCCCTCCAACCAATGTATCTGAACTGCACTTGGATCGTTGTATGCGTGTGGTGCCTCACGACCAGAACACGGGCGGATTTTTCATTGCAGTCCTAGAGAAAGTCGCTCCCTTACCCTGGGTTAAACAATCACATATGATGAATAAAGTCAATCCAGAAGCTCCGGTGAACCACGAAAAGACTGAACCAAGTAAGTTCAACGAAGTTTTCTCGTTTTGAGGGATGATTGCGTAGGTAGAGATCCGCATTCGAACGCCGGATGCATGCAATATGTGCTCGTAGAGAAGAATTGAATGCTCGTACGTATTGTCCTGCATTATAAAACACAATTAAGTGGTCTACTTTTTATTGTCTGACCTCATTATAACCAATCCCCGTGATTTTGTGGTTTCGCGTCATGAATGTTAGTTATAAATGCGAAACCCGATAGATGAAAAAGCATCATCCCAAAGATTGTATACTGCCCATTTTTCCATCAAGCTGTAGCCGAAACCCGCAATCCTCTCCCCTTGACCCACAATGATTTGGCCAAAACCCGCGATGTTTTAACGTCGGCCCACAATCATTTATCTAAAACCCGCAATGCTTCAACCTCAACCCGTAATCCTTTAACCTCGATGCACTGGGCGAATCAGCTAAAAAAGTATCGGAATATTCGGAGGTCTGATTATGTTGGAACATTTTATTTTGTACAGATATTGATGTTGCAAAGCTTTTTCGAGTCAAGTCAAGTCAATCAAAGCTTTATGCACCCGATAGGATGAATTTTCAGCATTTTCGACATGTTACAGTTGAAAAAAACGTTAAGTATCAGAAAAAGAAGAAATATACATTTACTAAATGACAAACAGACGGGTTTACGTAAAATCCTAATGTGAGAGATGATTGTTCAAGTCAGCAATAATATTTGCTCGGTTGATGAAGATGCGAGCAAAATAAGGGATCATGCTGTTTTTATGTGTGGTGGTGCGTGCATAAAGAATCCGAAATTGGGAACGGGTACTCGGATGAGAGACCGATTTAATGAGATGGGAGTGCAGGCAGTGTTCTTCGTTGGACGGTATGACTGATAAATCGATCGCATGAGTCAAAATGCTTGCTCACAATAAAGTCAACCAAAACGGTCTTTGAAATGCCGCTGCAACGAGAAAAAAGATTAAGAGATCTGGAGAAGAGAATAAAGTCTTTCTCCTTCAAACCAGGAAAATATACAGGGGAACAGTACGACCAATGTGGAAGAATGCAAGCAGTCACAAATTTAAGAATGACATTTGAGGGAACGCCGAGCTTTTTAAGCCTAAAGCGTAGAATGATAGCTTACGAACCCGAATACAAATGTTTTCAACATGTTTGGACCAAGAAAGATTGTGACAAAGTAACTCCAAGAAGAAGTGAGACGCCTTGGCAATCGCATGCTGCACCATATTGATTGGAAAGGGTTTCAAAGCTGTGCCCGTATCGTCGAACAAGTTGGCACATCTCTTACAGCTTCAGTGTTTCCATATAACATGCGATACTCCTGTGAGTAAAAATCTCAAACGTAACACAAACGGTACATTGTTTTCCATTTACAAGCCCCGAAATAAATCAAAAAGAGCAATCTTTCTATGCCGCATCTCCACTTTAAGTGAACTTCGTTTTTTTAGGAATCGACACGTTCAAAAACGACCCCTTCTAGTACACCTTTTCACATCAAGAATTAAACCAAACCCGTAGTTCTTCAGCCTCAACTGTAGTAATTATCAAGAAGTCAATTTGGCAAATAACTTCGTTTTCGATGCCTCATTTACTAGCCAAATACAGCACTTCTATAGACCACGAAATCACATAATTCAAGGAAACAGAATGGTCGTAAATAATATCTGTTTGTATGCGTGTGTATGGATACAATGGATAATATGGCAAGGGGTGTCTAAGAATTCAAATCATTCTGATGCATTCCACGAGTAATTGTGTTAAATATTGCAGCGCTAATGAACTGATAATATTAATGGGAGTGTATTTTTGTGATGGGTGTTTATTATCCTTAACCTGGCAGGGTATCCATCTCTCAGGAACGAAGTTCACTTAAAGTTGAGATACGGAACGGTAAGCGTTCATCAACTGGCAGTATTTGCCCAGTTGAAGTAGGTATATGGAGATCTTGTGTTAACTCGGGTCGGCTGAACTGTACCTTAAAATGTTCTGCCCATTGTTCAAGACGGCGTTCCTGATGATGAATCAGTTTGCTTTGATTAACTCACTTACGCCTACTTTCCGTGGGCCGTGCTCTTAATTAAGCGAAAAAGATTGCGACTATGATTGGTAGCCACAGCCTTCTCCATATCTTTCCAATTCCCCATCTACTTCTCGCGGTCCTTCCCCAGGCTCTTGGTGGGCTGTTGTTCAAGGGATTTGCGCACTTTGTCGTGTTTGGCATCAGAAGAAATGGCTACAAAATAATAATAGTAGATAGAAATGTCACAGTTTAACACCTAACTACTGGATACCGAAGACAGAATTAATATACTGGTTAGTAAGTTATAGAAAAAGGGATAGCAGAAGGTGGTATACTGCCTACCGGTGTTAATTTTAAGTTTGATTCACTCAATTAAATCCTGTGACTTCGAGTGATGACTTTATGCATCTTGCTTCAACGCCAAACCAGTCCTTCGTTTTTACTATCCTCCTTCCTCCACCCTATGCATTTGGACTGTACCATTACAGCATGCCCATCGACTGGAGAGTTGGATTCATGTCAGATGACCACGAACAGGAATACCACTGGGAATACAGCGGTCTTGAAAAGAGCCCCGGGTGAGCTGCTCATTAAGATGACCTCGATAAAGCTATTTATCATTCTAAACACAACGATAGTCAATTTATGCGTGCTTATCCCTTATCGGTTTGTATTGGATTAGTTGTGCAAGCTCACTCACTGTTGGGGGTCGAAGACGAATGCACAGTTGTTGGACCGGAAGAGAAGGAATAATATTGTGCTTTTGGCAGTTCTGGGGTGTCATCAGTCGCAACCGAATTTTATAGAAGTAAGACTCGTTTCTCCTACGTTCTGGGGAACCAGATATTACCGCTTGCCGCTGATGAAAGGGATTCTGGAGTTATGGTACAGGAGAACGTAGGATGTTCCACGCACTGTGTCAGAGCATCATCTATGGCTCTAAAGCAAGTGGGACT